GCAAAGTGGCAGGGTGGAGGAGTAGCAAGTTGTAGAAAAACAGGCCAGGCCAGAAAGGTAATGTGGGCTACCCCACCTAGGCACTTGTAGGCTGTGTCAGGTCTTCGTGTTTTACTCTTGAGTCAAATAGGAAACATGGCAATGTGAGGAAATACACCATTTTAAAGTAAGTTACTAGTAGATTAGTGGATGTTAGGGCTGGGGGGTGAAGGAATAGGGAGTGACTGCTAAGGAGTATGGGTGTCTTAGGGGAGATGAACACGTTATGGAGTTACTTAGTGATGATAATTGCACAGTTTTGAAATATAAAAATACTGAATGTATACTTTAAAAGGGTGACATTTATGGTCTATGAATTATATCAATAAACATTGCAAAAAAATCTATTTCCATGGTTTGCTGGAAAACCATTTTTTATAATCCTTTTCCATATCATTGGTGTGACTTTTGTTTTTGAAATTCAGATTTCTAACCAGATAAATCTTTTAACTGTGGGAAGAATCCCTTGGTATTGCTTGCTATATTTTCATTTGAAGTTTTTAAAAAGTTCATCTATTCTAAAACATCTTTGCTAAAATTATTACTGATTATGAAGTCAAATGAAATTCTATTTGCGTGCATCTTTTACATGCTCATTGTCTGTTACTCAGTAAGGTATGATAGATATTTTTAACAGCTGACTATCACATGGAATGTCACTTCTAGGATAAATTCAGACTATTACATTTTACTAAACTAAGATTTTTTCACATAATTTATTTTGTGATTCTTTTATAGGATAGAAAATTAGATCAATATGATAATGCTCTTCAAATTATGGTCTAAAACATACAAGTGAGAAGAATGCCTTTGTTCATTCTATTGTCCAAAACCAAAAGTGCATGCTGTTCTCTTCCTGAAGACAGTATTTTCTAATAGAAATTTGGTAGTAAATGTGTTTAGTTGGGGGTTTCAGTTTTTCATTTTCTATGTTTTAGATTTAACTTTGGCATTTCGTAGATTTTTATTTTATGACACTGTAGTAAAACTAATCGAAAATTATGTGACCATATTTTAATTTTTTTCTCTTTTTACTTGTGGGAGAGAGGCAAAGTATAATTTGGGTTTTATAAGTAGTCTAAGTGATTTTTCATTACAGAGGAAACTATTGAATATTACAGCTGTACTCTGAGGAAAAATTAACTCTTCTTTGGCAATTCAGAGTGTAGCAGAACTTAGCTAGTTGATTTTCTTTATTTTTGTTTTATTTTCCAATTCCAACACAGTTTGAAAATAATTGCAGAAGTTGTAACAGCTTGGTCAAGTTATAAATCACAGCGTTTGCTCAACTTTTTCTCTTTGAGGATTTGAACCAGGGGCCATCTTGGCATTTTAATTAGCATGAAAATTAAGCATTGCATTCTCTTTTTAGGGTTTTTAAAGCCAATGTTTAACTTTGCAGGCATCTTATTTTGCTTATGCTGCCCCCTTCACGTAGTTCCCTTCATGTAAGATGTGTTTTGTTCTTGTTGGGTTTGTGAGGAGGCACAGAGGGTGTCCAGAGCTCATCTTCTAAAGAGTATACATTGAAAGAACTCATAAACACTGTGAGGTAAACTCTGTCAGACCAATTATGTTTTCAAAATCTTGAGCACTTCAGAAATCTGTGGTAACTCAAATTTCTTATTTACAAAAAGCACCCTAGGAAAGAATTAATCTGCATTTACCTCATTGTTCCATTCTGAATGAATGTACTTAGAGGTTGATTAAATATTTTTTCTTCTTACCATGGGAAAGTATGTCCAAATCCTTAAGTAATTACATTCTTAATACAAACATTTCTCATTTTCTTACAATGGTGAAAAGGCAGGGTAGCTTTCAAATCCCTCTATTTTTCATTTGTGTGATGGTGACTCTAAATTGAGTTTAAGCACTTTGGTCATTTAACTCGCAACCAGCTTAATTTAGAAAGCATAACATTTCAAAGTGGTTTATTTAATAAAACTGCATTCTTGGAGGGCTTGTGAGAATATCTGAAGTACTGAAATAAGTCTAAATGTACTTCAGAGAAAAACAGTGTTTTAACCTCATGTAAAAATTTGATTTCAGATGATCAGAAGGCAAAATGTATAGCTTTAAGATCTTTTAGTAAGATAACCTGAGTATTTAGAACATTAAAAATGAAATACTGAGTATTTGAGGAGGTATTACCTTCAATGAACTTGTCAAAGTTTAGGATCTTTGAACAGTTGTGCACTATTGTGGTTAATATATTTTTACAGTACTTCATCTCTGTACAGCTTTCTCATTCCCATTAGATTGTGAATCATTTAGAGGCATACATTTGCTCATCTTTTTGTTACCAGTAAATTAGTGCCATCCCATAGGATTCATTTAATGTTCATTGACTGAATATTTTTTATGGCCAGTATCATTCTTAAATCTAATCAGTGGGTTCACTTGACTAAGGATGAATCTGCCTATCTGTGAGGAATGTGTTTATAGTGATACCTGGGTCTTTTTTGACCTTCAAGATTCAAATTTAAGGCTTGACCACCTCCAACTCTATTATTTGCCCTGTCTGTATTAGCAAGCTGGCATTCTTCTCCACCTTAAAGTAGAAAATTGTGTCCTTTATAGATTTTTTAACTTAAAATGGTACACATCCATTCTTTTTTCAGTAGATATTCTTGGGATTCTCTTTTATATTCTGCTATTACAGTGCCATTCCATTTTTACACCATACTGTTCATTCCCCCAATATAATTTTCTTATTAATGGAGAGGTGAATTGCTTTGCTATGGAAGATAGCAGTGGAAGTAATTGCTTTTGATGATATACACAACAGTGGACTATCTAGCTGTTATTTTAGATAATCTAGTTAAGAATTTTAGCATTAGACAAGAGTGTAGACTTGGAACTGCCCCTTACAGATGACTTTTAATGCTATAGGATGGTAAGCAACACAGTGAACACTCGAGGAAGATCAAAAGCTGGAGACTTGTTGTCTTTGTCCTGTCACCAGCTCCTCTTGGAATGTAGGGTGAAACTCATGCTCTCGGCCAAGAAGCCTTCCCATTTCATCTACAGTAAAGTCTGAACGCATTTGAGACCCCCAGAATCTGGTCCCAATGTACCTTTCCATTGCTTTAGTGTCCTGCTCCTTCCTGGTTCTCAGAATTATCTTCCTGGCCCAACTCTTTGTTTATGCTGTTCCCTTTATCTAGATTGTTCTCATTCCTTTCTGTCCTGACTTAGATACTCTTTCATTTAGCCACTCAATAAAACTTCATATCCTCCGTAAACCCTCCCTGCCTCTAAAGCAGGAATGAGTGTTTCCTCACATTTTATGTGTTCATATCCTGGCTCCCCATGAGCTTACTGTACTTTGAGTGCTGGTGGAATACAGTGTTTACTTGAAGTCTGTGTGTTGCTTCATCTTGTGACTCATTAGCTAGCTTAGTATAGATGCTTTTCTGATGGGAAGCAGTGTAACAGTTCAGAGCCCTTCAGCAGTATTATTTGTGATATGTTTTGCACCAGTGTTTTTCACACTCTGCTGTGATTCACTTGCTATTCGTGAAGGCAGTTTTGGTGGTTGAGCGTTATTTAAAAAAAAAACCAAAAAACAAAAAATAGACCTGGGTAACTTAGTAACTTAGTGAGAGCTTATCTCAAAATGAAAAATAAAAAAGGGCTGGGGATATAGTTCAGTGCATAGGCCCCAGGAATGAAAAGGAAGAAAAAAAGTAGAACATGGGTAGGCATTGAATAGTAAAAATTTTTATTCTAGTCTTATATTTGCATATATGTTTACAAGGTTATGATGTAAAGTGAATTTATTATGAAGCATAGTAAAAATTTTAAAAACACTACCAGAATTTAATCTGCATATGAATTTTGAATTTTAATGTTTAACAAAGAAATACTGGGAATTTTAATTAAGCTCAATGTGAAACCCTGATGTTTCTGAAAATTTTTACTTTCTCATAATTTTGTATCATTTTCTGTTAGTATCATAAGTGAATAATTTTTTCTTTGGCATGGGTTATGTAGCGTTTGTTTTGGATTTGGAGTATATAATTGAGTTATAAATACATAAATCCTTTTTTATAAAATATTATTTTGAAGAAAGGTTAGGGATTATCACAGACAGTTCCCTGAAATTTCCACTGTTGTTTTTAAACTTCTTTTTACTGTACATTCATTCATTCATTCATTCATTTGGTACCAGTGATCAAACTTGGGACCTTGCGCTTGTGAAGCAGGCAGTGCATCCACTGAGCTAAGTCACTGGCCCCTTGACTGTACATTATTAGTTTAGGTTAATTGTAGAAGTAGGTTGATAAGGTAGTACTTTTTAATACATTAGAATGGAATGAATATTATTGTCAACTGATTCTATACATTTAAAATTTTGCAATTAAAGATAGATTCCATGAAGGACAGTGAAATTTGGAAAATGATTTCACTTTATGAAGTTCTCCAGCACATGAAAGGTTTCCCTCTGTTATTCACTTGAAACAGAGTGTTTGCAATCAGCTTATCAAGAATTATGTTAAATATTTATTTGAAAAGAGTAAAAATTCGAATCTTCCAAATCAACCCAGCATCCTAAATGGCAACATGTCACTTTTAGAGAACCTTCCATCACTTGTGCATGCTCAAGATGGGACAAAGATCACTAACAGGGTCACAGAGTCCTGATTATGAAGCTATTTCTGGTTGACTTTGTCTAAATTTTAGTTCAAATCTTTCCTGGTGCTCTAGAGCCTATATATAT